CCATCATTAGAATTTTCTTTTTCTCTGAGTCAAATAAGGAATAATGAAATCATCCAGCAAAACAGAAGTATCCCACAGGAAGTTCATGGTGAAATATTCTTCTGACGTCTGCTCTGAGAGTGCATGCAACTGGAACAAGATGGAAAGAGACCCTAATTAAGAAGATGGTTGCTTTTATTAATTGAAGGAGTTGTCTTAGACTAGGGAATGGAAATGGAGGAATGTTGTAAGACTCTGTGCACTTTAAAACTGAAAAGAAAAAGTAAATGTTTGAATATGTTGAAACAAAAAGTAAGATCTGGTATAACTCTCGATTCCCAGACGTCAACATCTCCCTGGAAGAATATTGTCAACAAGAGTACAGCAGGTTAGAGGTGCAGCTGGTTTGGCATTTATTTGTGTGGTGGTAAAATTCTATTGTGGACAAGATAAGATAATCCCATGAAATCATAATGACCAATGGGATTTCAGACTTATAAGTTTGCTGATTTTAAGCATAAAAAATTAACAAGAAAATGTTCATAGTTATGGGGCAAAAATTGCAAGCAATTTCAACATGAGCTTGACCTTACTGTGGTTGAGAGAAGGTACTGACCCTTAACAAGAATTGAGAATTACAGCTCGAGGTAAAGAGAGGCTGGTGAAGTCTGAGAAAGAGTGTTATGTGGCAGTTCTCTTCTTTTACCAAGATCACTGACTTAAAAAAGAAAAAGAGAGAATAGATGGGTTTGTAGATAAAAGTACACTTTTTTATTTATTATTATTTTTTACTTATTGAAATTAGAAATTCAGTCTTTGCTTCTATTACTCCATGGATCACCATGGATCAGTGGGCAATGCCCACCTCCTTCACTAAACGCTGTAGAGCCTTGTCCCATTGGTACTGTCCAGAAGCCATGTGAAAGTGTATGGAGTAGATGTGTGGGACCTTTGCTCACAGGGAAGTCACCAGTGCTGTGCCCCTGTCACAGGGACCCTAAATTCCTGTTGGGTGTGCTGTAAACAGAGAAGCCATTCTTCAGGCCACCTGCTCTGAGCACACCCACAGATAAAAGCACATTTAAGATGAGAAACACTTGAAGACTGCTTCACTGACAGTTGCCCAAGAGAAAAATCTACGCAGCTCTACTACAAGGAGAGCTCCGTGACTAACTCAATTCTTTAATGTATTCATATTGTACTCTCTGAGATAAACCCATTGGAGGATTTCAAGTAATGTTTACAGATAATCTCTACAATTACAGTTTATTTATTGAAACATTTTACAGTAAAAGAAAATTGTGGTTGTTTGAGAAAAATGGTACAATAAAGAAGCCTTTAACCCCAGAACAAATGATGAGATAATTCGGTAATAGGTAGAAGTGATATTAAGTATTACATCATTGACTGTTTTTAAGCTACTGTGTACTGAGGTAATAGTGAAGGCAAAGATGGGTAGAGCCCTTTAATTAGAGGAGACCACAAAAGTTCTACTGGTGTTATTGCTTAAATTCCATCTTTTTTATAT